ACGTGGTGTACGTTTCACGCCCAGCCATTCACCTCCTCCGGAGTTTTTAGCGGAAATGTCTTACTTTAATAGTATAGATGTGTAGCGGCGTGCGCCGTGCGTGCGGTGTACCTGTGGCTGTGTGTTGCAGAGGAGCATTTGACCGGCATTTACAGGTAATTATCGGCAATACTAGGCGAAAGAGAGTAGAGAAACAATGGTAGTAAATACATTTCGTGTTTATTCACCATTTCTTTTTTATTGAAAATGCTCCAAGCGTCTGTCCGCCTTGTCTCTCGTCACTTTACCTTGTGATGTGATCACGCTAGGCAGCATAAAAAAGCCGTGTGGCACTCTCTGATATCGAATGCTGCAGTTGACAACACCGCAGGAGAGCGGCGTTGTGATGGATTTGCTTAATATAGGCGAATAAAATGAGCAGAGAACAGTGCGTTGCTCAATGTACTTATACCATGCCTGAGCTGGTTTCTGTAATCGTCATGGCCGGCGGCGTTGCATTGTGAGTAATATGAAAAATCGCAGAACCTTCTATATACATTTTATGTCGTTATAATATAAATGCTATCCATGCGTATGCTATAAGTAATTACGTCAAGGAACTTTGATGAGCAAGTAATTGAAGAAACCTTCAATTGGATAATAATTCGGTATATATATAGATATATATATGCATGTATGTATATATATATATATATATATATATATATATATGTATGTATGTATATATATATATATATATATATATATATATATATATATATATATGCATGCAAAAGTAATTTTGTAGGCTAAGTATAGACTGCAGGTGATTTCGTAATAATTAACCAGTTTAATGATTTAATATATTCATTATTTCGATCCTAATTAATGATGCCGCATGCTCCATTTCTCATGATATCCCTATACTATAAATATTAACTACATTGTAATTGCGTGTGTGCGTGCTTGTATAGGAATTATGTGTGGAAAGCTTGTGGATCCAAAACAACACCTGAGTTGCGAATTATTACTGCTACGGGATCGGGATCAAGTGCCTTTTACTGTTTTAGTTTAGAGGTCGCGGTAACGCGCGCGTTTCTACCATCACAGATCGACGCTTACCTGTGTACCGTTAGTCACGGTAACAGCATGGGAGCGGGGGTGCCGGCAGTCACAGTAACAGCAAGGGTTACGTGGGAACGGGGGTGCCGGCGTTTGTAAAAACGGCTGCTAACTTTGACACTACACTAAGTGCTTGCATGGATAAGTGCACTGCACACATCCCAGCCTCCCACCCCTTTCCCACACACTACAGACAACAGACCCTCATCCACCCTCCCACTCACGCCGCCGTGACACACCCATTGCCACACAACATGGCTGCACCTAGCAGAACTGTTAGTTTTGCTGTTCGGCGACCGTCGCTCGTCCGACGGTGCCACCTGGTGGCGACTCGTGTGACCGGTCTGTGTTTGCGGGCTTGTAGAACGATGTGGAGACGAAGCGAGGATCCAGTCTGGATACGATGAAGTAACGCAGCAGAGCAGAGGTAGAGGTGACGGGGTATATGTGACGGTTAAGAGGTAGAGGGAACGGAGGAGAGGTAGAGGGAGCGGATGAGAGGTAGAGGGAACGGAGAAGAGGTAGAGGGAACGGAGGAGAGGTAGAGGGAGCGGATGAGAGGTAGAGGGAACGGAGAAGAGGTAGAGGGAACGGAGGAGAGGTAGAGGGAGCGAATGAGAGGTAGAAGGAGCGGAGGAGAGGTAGAGGGAACGGAGGAGAGGTAGAGGGAGCAGAGAGAGTAAACCTCTGTCTGCCCGTGTTATGTGTTCCGGTGCCCATGGACGAGAGCCTCGCGGCAGTCGCTTTCTCCTCCATGCAGCGCGCTGCGTTATATTAAGAAGGAAAGCTGTATTTATTACTGTAAAATTATAGCCATTAAACCGCCGTCGCAATTGACAACCGTTAAACGTACTGTTACTGTCGTGGTTTATGTTCTCGTGCCGTAGTGCGCAGCGCGTGCGTGCACGAACCTGGCGTCTTTTATACCGTAGAAATGTGTAAAATCCTACCTAATATCCTATATTGAAGTAGCCCTATACAATTGCCTATACCTCAAATATTCTACATAAATACCCTATACAATATATACTAATAATTCTCCAATCCAATTCCTATATAAATACACTATCTATAATGTCCTAATATAAATATCCCATTCTAATGCCTTATATAAATATCTTATTTTATGACTAATTGATCTCTATAGTTTAAATAAACGCCTTCATGTAACACTGCTGTCCATACAAAATAGCATCTACGTTTAATCGTTTTCTTGAGGACCGATAACCGAGAGAGAGAGAGAGAGGAGAAGAGGGGGGCGGGAGGATAGACAATGAGGAGAAAGGGAAAAGAGAAGAAGGCAGGATGAACGGAACGAGGAGTGTAATATGTAAGCGCGCGCGCGCTTATCTGCGCACCTCGATAGTGCCACCGTGGCTGGGATACTTTTCTACCCGACATTTCTGGATAATTGGATGTGTTGAGACGACGTGTTTTTTATTCTCCCAATATAAGCTATAAACTGCGCCATAAAGAACGCATAAATATAACAATTGTTGCCCTAAATCGATTCTTGACGGCCCGTGGTTGTGTTTGGAGCAATAGAGGAACACGCGCGTGAAGCAAACCAGGCACATCACAACACGGTATTTATTGGTAACGTGTGATACGTCTTAACATCTAAGTGCGTAAGAAATAGTTAAGCACTTAGTTTACTAACACAGAGAACACAAGAGAATGAAACAGTGCCACCGAAAGATAGTTTATTACAATAAAACCCTGTAAGCAATAGGTAGCAACGGTAGTACAGCAAAGTGCCAAGACAGAGATTAGTGGCGAGTGCTCATTCTTACGAACAGATGTGGAAGAAAGTCAACGTTAAGAATATAAGAAGTGATCTTTGCAAGAAAAGAATAGTTCTAAGATTTAGACAGTAGCAAAGTAATCAAGGCAAACAGCCCTAAGCCAACGCTAAGAAGAACTTACGTACGAGAAGGCTTCAACGAACGATGCATCGACACCTTAGAGCAGGCAGCGGACTAAACTCTATACAAGTTTCGCCGTTTTCTTTATTATATATAGCGCTAATTAGCTATCCGAATCCACCCATACACGGAAATCACTCTTTGTTAACCAATCAGCTGCCGAGAGAGAACTAGCAGATACTACCCGTTTTTAGAACAGAAACTCTAAATAAACAGGCTTGTTATGTCGGTAATTAATATGTCTACGATAATGTAATAGCGGCAAGATAATGTAATTCGCTGGCTGCTGCACTGTGTTTCAACATCTCGATCGCGTGGTTCCAATTTTAAGCCAGGGACCGGAACGACATCTCTAAGAAGACCAGACGACTCGAGCTCCGCTCGGCGTCACGAATCGTGTGAAGGAATAGTCGTGTACGCTCTATATTCCTTGCTACCATATGCATACAACAATAAAAACAGCTGTTTGTGTTTCATGCGGCAAAGACCCCCGCGTGGAAGACTCGTGGTTTCACTCACTCCATTAAACCTGTTTTTTGCTGCCAAGCTAGTTATTACAAGAATAAATTCTGCTGGGCAATATCATTTAAATAGGAGTTTGAATTCTTAAAAACTGATGACAAATCCTGTTTACATTATACATCTTACTATTTTTGCAATTATAATATAGTACATTTTTGCGCATTACTTCTTGCGACCCCAACAAATAAAATCCATAATACCATAAATTGTGCTATGTGATGCACGTTGGTGACATCTATAATGGCTTGGTGGTTTTGAACACCTTTTGTTTAATGCCGTAGCGTGCATTCTGTCTTCTGTCTACATTCTGTAACTAAGTTGAGTCGATTTATATACCGAATACAACCACTCATTTGTTAGATTAGCTTTGGTTAATTTCCTGCCACTTGCTTATAATATAGACCTATAAGCTCTATAAATGATGACTTACCAAGTGAGATCACTTGTTTGCGCGCAACTGCGCAATGTCTTCGACATCCATGGTTGTTTAGCCATTAATCCATCTGCTGTTTGCTTGGATCGAGTTTAAAAAATGTAGTGATCCATGTCAGGGCCCTATCTTAATCATTCACGTACAGTGACAAGCGATCGAATGGTAAACTTTCGTGTTCATTCAAAAGCAGTATTGACCATTCCCCCACAATGGGTTGATTTAATTATGCAAGGTTTCACCATAAACGCGCCGCTGTTACTTCGATGTCTTTGGTTGCTCTCACCTGTTGATGTTCAAATTAACACCAGATACCTGCGCGTTCTGCGGTCCGTTCAGTCAGCGTAACTACTGTGCATATGTGTACATTTTGTGTACAATTGTGCTTTTAAATATTGAGTCGTCATGGTATACGTCTCCTGCGTGAATCCTACAGTGGGAAAGTGAGCTTGAAAATGGCAGCTTCAGTTGAGACAACCTTTAGCGCGACCAGTCTACAACAAATCAGAGATTCGAATTCCAAGCGTTTATTATATCTATAATATATATATATATATATAATATTATGTGTTTAGACTGGTCGGCTAAGTTGTCTGCAACTGAAGCTGCATATTCAGGTCAGCGGTAAGGTAGTAGTAATGAGTATAGAGGGTTCCCGCGACTCTGGTCTAAAATTAGCAAATATTAACCTACAACCCGTGCGCGGCCATACCGGTTACAAAAAGAGCGAACAAGTTGTCGCTGTAATGTGCCGCTCTCTGCAAAAATCAACCGATTTTACATTGCTATAAGTTATTAATTGTAATAGCATTAGAACGAAGGAAGATCCCGATTTACCAACAGGTTTATCAGCGGTGGATTTTAGGGGTTAGCAGTTCAATGAGGACTGCCACACAGTCGGCAGATTTCGTAGATTGAGCAGATCGAAAAGATTGCACGAAACACATATTGGATGTTCACTAGACTTGAGTTTGTTTACATCGTGAGAGTTCAGAATTTCAACCGATTTTTAACTGCATTCTACTCTAGCTATTCAACGCAGCTTTTTATAATAGCTAGTGTATGCACGTTTGTTCGACTGTCCTGTAGTGTAAACGTAGATATGGACAAGTAGGACATTTGATTCACTAGATCACCAGTAGCCAAAGCACTGCTATCTGAAAAAATTGCTGCATTGGGGAATCGACAACCCGTACGAGAATGGAGCGAGGACCAACAACTTGCTTGCCCTATCACGTGACGTACTTATCAGATTACTGATACGCTAATGATTTACGTAATGTATGATGATGATGATAACTTATTAGGATCTCGTGAATTGAATAGCCTTACATTCTAGGCCGAGTCCAGGACTGCTTCAGAATCGTCAAAAGCTAGATGCCTAACGACTCGACCTGTTGGTTCTGCGATTGGGTTTAGTGTCAGTATATCGGTGAACAGTGAGAGTCCCATCTATGTTATCACGAGCACGTGTTATGCACTCCAGTCTCCTGATTATACCATCTCTCTATCCGGTACAATGGGATCACGATGAGAAAAATGGCACAGGCATACATGTCAGCACAGCACTATAATTGTAAGCGCGGGCTGTGAACTGTCTGTTCAAATGTTGCCGTCGGTGCTATTTTATGTAGAGTATGCTGTCACGTGCCAAGAGAAATACAGACACACCCACCGACTCAACACAGGCTGCACATAACTGCATGGATGCCAGGGAGGTAATATAAGTGTCTTATAACTACATAAAATAAAAGATGCTAACTAGTGGATTACCGTGCGTTGGCCTGCGGGGAAAATCAGCTGGCATTACTCAGTTTGGCTGACGCTTATGGTTGTAAAGGAAAATATGCCAAAAAACTCGGAACTGGCTTATCTATCCATTGCAATCCATGCATACACCCATTCCAATGCCATCCCGCATCCATAATCACATCCCATCCATCCCCATCCTTCCCGATCTTATCGCATCCCCATGCATCATCGCATCATGCCATCTCATCGCATCCGCATGCCATGCCATCGCATGCCATCCGCCATCCCAGTGCGCATGCCATCCCATCCCAATCCCAAATAGAGATAAGAGAATCAAAAGAAAAGACATGTTAAAGATAAAAATTAATAAAATTAAAAAAATAATAAATCAATAAAATTAATAAATTAAAAATATATTTATCTATTAAAGTATAGACATTTGCGGGCTGAAAACTCCGGAGGGGAAAATAATAATACTAAAGAGAAAGTAAAAGAAAGAAAGGAAAAAAAAGGGAAAAATAAATTGTACGCTTTGCAGCTGGGACTCGAACCCGGAATCCCGGTGTAGCAGACAAATGTCCTAGCGATGAGACCACTTGTGGCGCACGTGATGCTGTGTGTATATTCCATCGTTCTATTTATAGATTATGTACATATTTTCAAGGTTTCCCTCGCAAAATTACATTTTCGGGGGTTACATTTTCTTCCAAAGTTGAGAGCAGGATACGGAATCATTGTCGATACGTGGTGTACGTTTCACAGCACGACAGCCATTCACCTCCTCCGGAGTTTTTAGCGGAAATGTCTTACTTTAATAGTATAAGATGTGTAGCGGCGTGCGCCGTGCGTGCGGTGTACCTGTGGCTGTGTGTTGCAGAGGAGCATTTGACCGGCTTACAGTAATTATCGGCGCAATTACTAGGCAAAGAGAGTAGAGAAACAATGGTAGTAAATACATTTCGTGTTTATTCACCATTGTTTTTTTTAATTGAAAATGCTCCAAGCGTCTGTCCGCCTTGTCTCTCGTCACTTTACCTTGTGATGTGATCAGCGCTACAGCATAAAAAAACCGTGTGGCACTCTCCTGATATCGAATGCTGCAGTTGACAAAACACCGCAGGAGAGCGGCGTTGTATGGATTTGCTTAATATAGGCGAATAAAATGAGCAGAAGAACAGTGCGTTGCTCAATGTACTTATACCATGCCTGAGCTGGTTTCTGTAATCGTCATGGCCGCGGCGTTGCATTGTGAGTAATATGAAAATCGCAAGACCTTCTAATATACATTTTATGTCGTTATAATATAAATGCTATCCATGCGTATGCTATAAGTAATTACGTCAAGGAACTTTGATGAGCAAGTAGGCCTAATTGAAGAACCTTCAATTGGATAATAATTCAGTATATATATATATAGATATAATATATACATTATATATATATATATATATATTATATATATATATATATATATAAGCAGCTGATATAAGTTTCAATAAAGGATGGTATGCTGCTTCCGCCGCTGTCGATTTACGATGTTTTACATATATTTATTACATTTACTGTTGTTGTTATTGACATTGCTGTTGTTGCTGCTGCTGCTACTGATGTTGTTGTTGTTGTTGTCGATGGTGGTGGGGATGGTGGAATAGTGTTGATGTACGTGTCTGTCGTTGTTGTTTATTTTTGTTGGCAGTGTTGTTGCGGTGCTGGTGTAACTGCTATCTATCTTCTGACTCACTACTCACACACATCGCACAAACAAACGTAAACAAAGGTAAGCAAAGAAAAATATTTGGTAATTATGACCTGCCTTCGATTCTTCAAACAGGGTGCCGGGGTAACCGAGACCGTCAAAAACCTACCTTAAGTCTCTACTTGACTTGACATAGAACCTACATTAATGCTCTATTTATTTTGACTTGGTGGGTTGACTTAAATTCTGACTTGATTTGTAGTGTGTTCTTTTTTAATTCTTATTCCACAGCTTCCGTTGTTAACCTTGGTCACCATTTAACTCTCACATTGGACTCACTCTTTGGACTCTCACCCTACACCCATATATACTCGGCCATCTTTTCTCCTTCCACTTATCAAGACTGGACACTCCCCTACAGCACACCCACACATACCCCACCATCTATTCTCTTTATACTTACCAAAACTGGACCGTTCCCCACAGTACACCCACAGGGACCTGAGGCAAAAAAATGTGTCATATAAAAATAGAAGCTAATCTATTTTTATATAACACATTTTTTTTCGCCCCAGGTCCCTGTGAGTACACCCGCCCCCTAGCTCCCAGGCTTTGCTGCTTTCACATAATTATCAATACTACACCCCACCTACAGCACACGATCCCACAAAATTCCGCGTGCCAGCGTGCGTACCGCAGTATGGAAAAGGGTTTGTCCAGTTCTTGTTGTAGCTACACGTGGTGACCTCACTACCGATAAGGTACCAGCCGTTGTTGCAGGTGAATGTTACGTTGTCAGTGTATCGGAAGGAGTCACCGAGTCGAAGTCCATTTCTGGGATAGGGTGGCGGCGGGCACCGAACGCCTATGAAAACCACACACCTACAATCACTACGTCGCCGATTTGGGGTTTGGCGCCACCTATCAACTACGATTCGATGTTCTGCAAACTGACTGCTTAAGGAGAGCATGTTAAAGTGATCACTGTAAATAGTAAAAAGTAAACAAATTATGTCCATTTTTTCTCAAAATGTAAGTGATTCTGTTCACTTTTTCGGTTAAATTGCTGCATTATACTTCCTATTTTGCTACTCCGTTCGATGGGAATGAACACTCGTGACTCATACATAGCCCATAGCATATAGTAGGTCTCAGGGGAGAGATAGTGAATATATAGAAATAAGTTGTGGATATAGAAATCAGTTAACCATAACCCTAACCCTAACCCTAACCCTAATCCTAACCCTAACCCTATCCCTAATTCTAAAATAAAACAAAATTAGCCAAAAATAATACAAAAATAAAATAAATAAGAGACAAAATTAGCCAATCAGAGCCGTCCCCTAGCGGATCAAAATTCCATAGTGAACACTTAATGTTATGATCAATATATCAAATTTCCCAGATTTTTTTTTTAACTAGTTAAGAAACAATCTTAACAGGTGAGAATTTGAGGATACATTTAGCGTCTTAGTACTTTCAATATAAATACTTCAAAAAAATTGACAAACATAATTTTACACCATAGAAAATTCGTGACGTAGTCAATTTAACAACAACAGACGGCAAAGATGCGAGTCAATAATAGAAGAAGAAGTCGAGAAAAAAAACAATAATTCAAGAAAAGAATACATGGCAATAAAACAATACAGCGATACAATATGGATAGAAGACGACAAGAATGCGAGGCAAATTAAAGCAATAATAAAGGAAAACAAGAATAAACGACAATTAAACAATACAACAAGAATACAAAACAAAAAAACAATACAGTATACTGGACTGCAAAAATACACGACAACAATATGATGAGACAAGATTACAAGACAATAACACAATGCGACAAAAATTCAAGACAACAACAATACAACACAATAAAACAGCACAGCGTAGACACAAAACAAGAATACAACCGTAGGGGTAACGTACGCTCGCACGGCGGCGGATTCGGGGTCCACAACTTGTCACCTTCGCAGAGGACGACGAAGGAAGGCACCTCCCCGGGAAACTCCAGTCCCTGCTTACACGTGATGGTCACCTCACTGAGGTATTCGGTCAGTGTGCTGCTCAGTGTGGAGCCGGGTCTATCCTCAAGCGTCGGACACTGGATGATCACTGCCGAGAAGGTTGCCCGCAAGGTTATAAACTCACGCTGGCTTTGGACTTCGTGCTCTCTCTCTCTCTCTCTTTCTCTCTCTCGCTCACTCTTCCTATCTCACTCCCCTATCTCTCTCTCTCTCTCTCTCTCTCTCTCTCTCTCTCTCTCCCTCTCTCTCTCTCTCTCTCTCTCTCTCTCTTTTACTCTCCTCCCCCTTCTTTGTCGCGTTTCCCCTCTTTTATCCTCTCACTCTTTCCTCTCACACACACGCACACTTGCTCACCCCATCTCATTCACTCTTCCCCCCCCCCATCTCGCTTTCTCTCGCTCTTACTCTCTCCCTCACTCTCTCATTCTCTTATCTCCCACTCTCTAACTTTCCTAACCTAGCTCACAGCTCGCAGACAGTTCACTTACGGTCGCAGGACACAGGTAGTGGGTCCCACCTAACGGGCAGGTCGCGGCAGGTGACCGAGAGCACGGGCGCGTCCAAGGAAAATTCCCAGCCGGTGATGCATTCCAGCCGCAGCACAGTGCTCCACTGCGTCTCGTGGTCGGCTTGGAAACGCACGCGGTTGAGCCGCGTGAAATCGATGGGGTCACAGTGGACGTCTGCAAGATATATAGGCTAGATATATATACATATATATAGAGAGAGATATATGTAGAGAGAAGGAGGGCGAGAAAAAGAAAGCAAGAGCAGGAGAGAGACAGATAGAGCGAGAGAGAACGCGAGCCATGAATGGACGGACGTTCTTGCACCACCTTGTGGTTTGCAGTCGATTGATAGACTGTCACTGTAGCTAGCAATTGGGCGCAAGGGGTAGTTACACACTGGAACCCTGGAATCACACACAATAATTCCAGTCGCAGCTAGCCATAGATTACCAAGATATCTAGATATTTCAGACGATTAAAATGATTATTTCTCTTAAAATAGATGCAGAATATTACCACGATAATTAATATACCACGATAATATAACAACGATTTGCGTGCGTGCGTGCGTGATGTCTGACTTCACATGCCACTCAAAATCAAGCCCTACGTGCTTGGCCTCAACGATATTTGGAATCAATCTAGATACATTTCTCCGAACGTGATCTTACAGTCCTTAAGTGTCACCACAGCAATTATTACTTCCTTCTAGAAAGTTAGGGTTAGTATCGAGTAACGGCGCATACATTCGCAGTTGAAGATGGGCGGATCCCAAAGCGACGTGACTTCGGTGTCAATACAGATGCTGTTCTGTAGCTTATCGGTGTTCCCCATGTCCTGTATCCTGTATCCCTCGTCGCATAGCACCTCCACAGTTACGCCGGCCGATGGGAGGTTAAGCGAAGGGTAGTCCCAGGTTGCATGTACGTCCTCGTCTATCAAGTCACACCGACGCACTGAAACAAAAAGCGCAGATAAGACGGCTGTGTGTGTTAATGGAGCATGCGGGAAGCTGATACGAATTACTCGTTTTATACTGTTTATTCGTTGTCGTAGTATTCTTCTTCTACTTCTTCTTCCTCTTCTTCCCCGTTTTTGCTTCCTCTTGCTCTTCTTCACGCGCAGTGTAGAGGGGGCACGTACATTTGCCATAGATAGGGCGTATACCATGCTACATGTTACATCTATGCTCAATCTATAGGGAGAAGGTATACTATGCTACACCTGCGCTCTGTATCATTCTGCCCCGATCTATGGGGAGGATGTATGACAAGCTATATGCGATATCTATGCTAGGTATCTTCCCCACTTAATCCACAAAGAGGATCTATGACATGCTACTTGCTACATCTATGCTAGATATCCCTCTCCTCCAATCTATAGGAAGGATGTATACCATGATACATGCTACATCTCTGCTCTGTATAACCTCTCTTCGACCTATAAACAAGATTTATACCATGCTAAATGCTACACCTGAGCTCAGTATCCCTCCTCAATCCATAGGGAGGATGCATACCATGCTACATGCTCCATCTATGCTAGGTATCCCCCAATACATAGACAGGATGCTAGGTATGCCTCCCCCCAATCCATAGGGAGGAGGATTATGTACATCTATGCAAGGTATCTCTATCCCCCAATCAACAGGGAGGGTGTATACCATGTTACATGCTAGATCTATGCTAGGTATCCCTCTCCCCCAGTGCATAGAAAGGATTCATACGATGCTGCAGCCTAGATCTACACTAGGCATCTTCCCCCAATCCATATGAAGGATTCATACCATGCTCGCACCATGCTTCATGCTAGATCTACGCTAGGTATCTTCCCCCACTCCATATAGGGAGGATGTGTGCCATGCTGCAGGCTACATCTATGTACTAGGTATCTATCTATGTATCTATCTATGTGCTGTATCTATATCTATATCTATGATATACTAGGTATCGCATATCGGCTGCGAGGCAGCGAATTGATCAATCACTCACGGATACAGTCGAGTTCGACTGGGTCCCACTCCTTCGTTGCCGTGCAGATCGACGTCCGTGTGAGCTGCCGGGTGTCCTTATACTCGTAGTTGGGGAAGCACTGCACGAACGTGTGCTGGTTGTATTCGTCTACGGGCACGGCTACGGCGTGCTTCATGTATATCGGCATTGTGCAATGCTTGACTGTGAGATGAGAAAGACACAAGAGCTAGAGGTAGAGGGAGCGAATGAGAGGTAGAAGGAGCGGAGGAGAGGTAGAGGGAACGGAGGAGAGGTAGAGGGAACGGAGGAGAGGTAGAGGGAGCAGAGGAGAGGTAGAGGGAACGGAGGAGAGGTAGAGGAAACGGAGGAGAAGTAGAGGGAGCAGAGGAGAGGTAAACCTCTGGTCTGCCGTGTTATGTGTTCCGTGTCCCATGGACGAGAGCTCGCGTGCAGTCGCTCTCCTCCATCAGCGCGTGCGTATATGTAAGAAGGAAGCTGTATTTATTACTGTAAAATTATAGCATTAAACGCCGTCGAATTGACAACCGTGTAACGTACTGTTTATTCGTGTTTTATGTTCTGCCGTAGTGCCAGCGTGCGTGCACAACCTGGCGTCTGTTTATACCGTAGAATGTGTAAATCCTACCTAATATCCTATATAAGTACCCTATACAATATGCTATATAAATATCCTACATAAATACCCTATACAATATTATATATAATTATCCTATCCAATATCCTATATAAATACACTATCTATAATGTCCTATATAAATATCCCATCTAATGCCTTATATAAATATCTTATTTTATGACTAATATCTCTATAGTTTATAACGCCTTCATGTAACACTGCTGTCCATACAAAATAGCATCTACGTTTAATCCGTTTCTGAGGCCGATACCGAGAGAGAGAGAGAGAGAGAGGGGGGGGGAGAGGATGGACAGAGGAGAAAGGGGAAAGAGAAGAAGGCAGGAGAACGGAACGAGGAGTGTAATATGTAAGCGCGCGCGCGCTTATCTGCGCACCTCGATGTGCCACCGTGCCTGGGTACTTTTCTACCCGCATTTCTGGGTAATTGGATGTGTTGAGAGACGTGTTTTTATTCTCCCAATATAAGCTATAACTGCGCCATCCAAAAATGTGAAAAGAACGCATAAATATAACAATGTTTGCCCTAAATCGATTCTTGACGCCCGTGGTTGTGTTGGAGCAATAGAGGAACACGCGCGTGAAGCAACCAGGCACACACAAACACGGTATTTATTGTAAGCGTGTGATACGTCTTACATTAAAGTGCGTAAGAAATGTTAACACTTAATAAACACAAGAACACAAGAGAAGACAGTGCCACGAAAGATAGTTTTATTACAATAAAATCCTGTAACAATAGGTTAGCACGGTAGTACAGAAAGTGCCAAGACAAGATAGTGCGAGTGCTCATTCTTACAACAGATGTGAAGAAAGTCCACGTTAAGAAATATAAGAATTGATCTTCAAGAAGAGATAGTTATAAGATTAGACAGTAGCAAAGTAAATCAAGGCAAAGCCCTAAGCCAACCGCCTAAGAAGAACTTACGTACAGAAGGCTTCAACGAACGATGCACGAACACGCAGGCACAGGACTAAACTCTATACAAGTTTCGCGTTTCTTTATTATATATAAGCGCTTAAATTAGCTATCCGAATCCACCCATACACGGAAATCACTCTTTGTTAACCAATCGGCTGGCCGAGAGAGAACCTAGCAGATACTACCCGTTTTTAGAACAGAACTCTAAATAAACAGCTTGGTTATGTCGGTAATTAATATGTCTACTATAATTAATAGCGCAGATAATGTGAATTCGCTGCTGGCTGCACTGTGTTTCACACATCTCGATCAGCGTGTCCAATTTTAGCCAGGGACCGGAACACATCTCTAAGGAAGACAGCGACCTCGAGGCTCCGCTCGGCGGCACGAATCGTGTGAAGAAGTCGTGTACGCTCTATTCTTGCTACCATATGCATAAACAATAAAAACAGCTGTTGTGTTTCATGCGCAAAGACCCCGGTCGTGGAAGACTCGTGTTTCACTCAGCTCCATTAAACCTGTTTTTGCTGCCCAAGCTAGTTATTACAAGAATAATCTGCTGGCAATATCATTTTAAATAGGAGTTTGAATTCTTAAAACTGATGAAAACTACCTGTTTACATTATACATCTTACATATTTTTTGCAATTATAATATAGTTCACATTTTTGCATTACTTCTGGACCCCACAATAAAATCCATATTACCATAAATTGTGCTATAGTGATGCACTTGTGTGACATCTATAGATGGCTTGGTGGTTTTGAACACCTTTTGTTAATGACGTAGGTGCATTCTGTCTTCTGTCTACATCTGTATACTAAGTTTGAGTCGTTTATATACCGAATACACACTCATTGTTAGATTAGCTTTGTTAATTTCCTGCACTTGCTTATATATAACCTATAAGCTCTATAATATGACTTACCAAGTGAGATCACTTGTTGCGGCAACTGCGCAATGTCTTCGACATCCATGGTTTGTTTAGCCATTAATCCATCTTGCTGTTGCTTGATCGGAGTTAAAAATGTAGTGATCCATGTCAGGGCCTATCTTAATCATTCACGTACAGTGACAAGAGATCGAATGGTAAACCTTCGTGTTCATTCAAAAGCAGTATTGACCATTCCCCAATGGGTTGATTTAATCTATGCAAGTTTCACCATAAACGCGCGTGTTCACTTCGATGTCTTTGGTTGCTCTCACCTGTTGATGTTCAATTAACACAGATACCTGCGCGTTCTCGCGGTCGGTTCAGTCACGTAAATACTTGCAATATGTGTACAATTTTGTGTACAATTGTGCTTTAATATTAGTGTCAGGGTTATACGTCTCCTGCGTGAACCTACACGTGGGAAAGTGAGCTTGAAATGCAGCTTCAGTTGAGACAACCTTAGCCGACCAGTCTACAACAAATCAGAGATTCGAATTCAAGCGTTTATTATATTATATATATATATATATATATATAATATATGTGTTAGACTGGTCGGCTAAGTGTGTCTCAACTGAAGCTGCATTTCAAGGTCAGCGGTAAGTATATATAGTAAGAGGGTTCCCGCGACTTGGTCTAAAATTAGCAATATTACCTACAACCCGTGCGCGGCCATACCGGTTACAAAAAGAGCGAACAAGTGTGCGTGTAATGTGCCGCTCTCGCAAAAATCAACCGATTTTACATTGCGTATAAGTTATTATTGTAATAGCATTAGAAGTAAGGAGATCCGATTTACCAGACAGGTTTATCAGCGGTGGATTTTAGGTTACAGTTCAATGAGGACTGCCACACAGTCGGCAGATCGGTAGATTGAGCAGATCGAAAAGATTGTCACGAAACACATATTGGATGTTCATAGACTTGAGTTTGTGTTACATCGTGAGAGTTCAGAATTTCACCGATTTTACTGCATCTACTCTAGCTATCAAACGCAGCTTTTTATAATAGCTAGTGTATGCACGTTTGTCGACTGTCTGTAGTGTACGTAGTATGGACAAGTAGGACTTTGATTCACTAGACAACGTAGCCAAAGCACGCTATCTCGAAAAATTGCTGCATTGGGGAATCGACACCCGTACGAGAATGGAGCGAGGACCACAACTTGTGCCCATCACGTACGTACTTATCATGATTACTGATACGATAATGATTACGTTATGATGATGATGATGATGATACTTATTAGGATCTCGTGAATTGACTACCTTACATTCTAGCCGAGTCCAGGACTTTCAGAACGTCAAAAGCCTAGATGCCTACGATCGACTGTTGGGTTCTGCGATTGGGTTAGTGGTGTATATCGGTGAACAGTGAGAGTCCCATCTATGTTATCCGAGCACGTGTTATGCACTCCAGTCTCTGATTATACCATCTCTCTATCCGTACATGGTCACGATGAGAGAAAATGGCCAGGGCATCATGTCAGCACACTAAATTGTAAAGCGCGGCTTGGTGATATTCTGTTCACATGTTGCCTCGGTGCTATTTTATTGTAGAGTATGCTGCACGTGCCAAGAGAAATCACCACCCACTCAAACAGCTGCCTACTGCATGGATGCCGGTGATATAATGTTTATAACTATAAGTGTAAACTAGCGGATACCCGGCGTTGGCCCGGGAAATCGTGGGCATTACTCAGTGGTGACCGCTTGGTGGAAGGAAAATATCCCAAAAAACATCGGAACTGGCTATCTATCCATGCATCCATTGCATACATCCCATTCCATGCATCCCATCCATATCACATCCCATCCCATCCGCCATCCCTTCCCATCTTATTCGCATCCCCATGCATCCCATCGCCAATGCCATTCTCATCGCATCCATGGCCATGCCATCGCATGCCATCCCATCCCAGTCCGCATGCCATTCCCATCCATCCCAAATAAATAAGAAATCAAAAGATAAACAGACATTAAAATAAAATAATTTAATAAATTAAAAAAATAATAAATCAAATAAATTAATAAATTAAAAACTATATTTATACTATTAAATGTAAGACATTTCGGCATGGAAAACTCCGGAGGAAAAATAATACATACTTAAGAGAAAGTAAAGAGAAGAAAGAAAAAAAAGGGAAAATAAAACTGTACGCAGCTGGGACTACGGGAACGCGGAATCCGCGTGTGTATGCAGACAATTGTCCTAGCGATGAGACCACTTGTGGCGCACGTGACTGATGGCCTTGTGTGGTATATTCCATCGTTCTATTTATAGATTATGTACATATTTTCAGGTTTCCATCGCAAAATTACATTTTCGGGGGTTACTTTCTTCCAAAGTTGAGAGGCAGATGACGGAATCATTGTCGATACGTGGTGTACCGTTTCACGCCGCAGCCATTCACGCTCCTCCGGAGGTTTTTAGCGGAAATTCTTACTTTATGAGTATAGATGTGAGCGGCTGTGCGCCGTGCGTGCGGTGTACTGTGGCTGTGTGTTGCAGAGGAGCAATTTGACCGGCTTACAGGTAATGTATCGGCAATACTGAGGCGAAAGAGAGTCAGAGAAAACAAGTGTAGGTATAGTATACATTTCGTGTTGTTATTCACCATTTCTTTTTTTTAATTGGAAAATGCGTCGCAAGCTGTTGCCCTTGCCTCATATCGTGCACTTTTGCCTTGT